TGTCAAGCCAGCCTCTGCCTGTGCGTCTCCCAACTGAGTAGGATGACATTCGTGAGGGCGACGGTGGAAATGTCCCAGCACCTCATCCTCTCCTTAATAATTCATTCTCCTGCCCGGGCTCACTGGCTGAGGCCATGCTGCCTGCCTTTAATGGAGCCGGTGGTTACCAACACTGACATCCTCGCTCTCAAACAATGCACAGACACCGGGCCCGAGCTCAATCAACAGCAGAAAGAAGCAGCCATCTCACCAACGAGGAGAACACCGAACATGCAAAAACACATTCAGGGCTCCTTCAGTTTGCACACGCAAGGAAACCATGAGATCTTCTCCCCCTCCCCCCTTCCTCATCCTCGCTTCCTTCCTTCATCTTCCTCTTCCTCCTGTGCTCTTCAGGGCTCCTGAGGCAAGCAGCATCGCTCTGGGACAAACTCTGATTAAAGCTGCTTGTAAATGACAAACACCCCACCACCACAGCCCATGCTCTAATCCTAATCTGTATGTATCTGCGAGAACCCTTTTTTTTAACCCTCATTTAGCTGTTACGRAAATACAGAAGCCGCCATTTTGGAACAGCTGTATGGAGGTGATGTATAATGGAGTTGTGTTCAGGACGTCGGCAAAAATGAAGCTTTTGCAGCGAACCCGTTTGTCTTAGTCTGTTATGTGCTCTTCTTATCCCTCCAGGTTTATCTGAGGAAACTGTAAGATGTTTTTAATTGTAACTCAAGGCTGAGGCAGATTTTTTTTAACAAATCCACGAGTTAAAACCAAACCAACTATTTCACCTAAAAGCAAGACTTGTAGGCTGACAACGCAGGGGGAAGGTGTGCGGTTTATTTTAGCACTGAGGGGGAGGCGGGGGTTTTGTCTTCGTGTCTCCAGCGATGCAGAGTTGATTTCTCTCGGCAGGCCTGTGAATGCCCCGAGGCAAAAGGGATAAGGGCCGTAGAGGAGAAGGGGATAAAGAAAGAATCTGGCCTAGGGAGACTTTGCAGGATGAGTGCACCGAGAGCCATTAAAAATATAACAAGAGATGAGCGCAACAGTGTATATTTAGCTGCAGAGAGCGAGCGCTACGCTGCGTTGTTGTATCTTTTTGGTCACTGCAGGAGTGCAAATCAAAGCCGAAGGGGAAAAAAAACAGCAAAAGAGGATGAAACGGAGAGAAGAAGCAAACTGAAGTKTTTATCGGTTGCTGGTGAGTCAAAGAGGCCCGGCAACATCTGTGCAGCGAACACTTCCAGTGAGATAAGAAACGGTGGAGTTAAAAACAAACAAAAATAAAGGCGCTGGTTTGATTTGATGAAGAATTAGAAATGCAGGAGAAAGATTTAGAGGTGAAAATAAAAACGTCATTGCAGATTTATGTAGAAAAKAATTAAACTCTCTAATTCTCCTTTATTTGATTTGTTGTCTACTTCTTCTTTTGTTCACATCTTGACACATCGCCTCTCCATGATAATGTGGGCGACAAACGGATTCCTTTATATTTGTACATTTAACCGTCGACAACCCAGAACATTAAAAAGCATGACCTGCTGAAAGATACATGACTTCCTGA